AGTCTTTTACAAGAAGCTGATCACAGTGGTTTTGTCACAGCTGCCCAAAGGAAGTGTTAAAACTAACTACCAAAAGATCTTCCTTTGTCATAACACACTGACACCACCTTGTTCTAAAGATTACAATTTAGATTTTTTTTGTCAGATTCTGATATAAGCAGAAACTCATTGTTAGCCTCTTCAGCTCCCAAGGAGTTCCTGTCTTGCCTGTCTAGAAGATGCAGATGTTTTTTCCCTCAGGTACTTGGCCAGTACTTGGGGACTACAGACTTCCTGCTTCTGGTCACACAAAACATTGGAATGTGGCCACTTTTGTGTGAACTGCTATCTAAGAGGATCCGGAGATGACAGGAATTTGCAATCCCATTCTTAGAAAGGACACTCTGCCCTGCCCCATTCAAATCAGAACCCTTAAAATAACATGAAAGGACTACTCAGCATTGGAATCACAATTTTAGGTGGCAAAGCTTTTCTGACATGGCAATGGAAATTTTTCTGCTTTTAATTTCTTCTGTATAATCATGTGTGTGTTACTTCTTAACAGTTTATTACATTTTGTTTTATTATTTATACCTTAGTGATACAGGCAACTGTTACTTATAAATCCAGGCACTTGCATGAACTCACTGTCTCTATGGTGCCTTTAAGGGTACAGCCTATTTGGGAGGAGGAAGAGCAGAGCAAGGGGTTGGGGCCTTTTCCTCCTGCGCATGTGGTCTGTACCTACTTCATATTCCTTTTGCATCCAGCTGTCTGATTATAATCTTAGTCCTGAAGACTTTCCTTGTGCTTACATAGATTTGAAACAAGTTTGTGTGCTGGCTGTGCTGCCTGCAATATCCTGGAATCAAGTGTTTCATCGGCTTCAGGTTCTTGTGCACACGAAACTACATGTGTTTTTCATTATATCCTAAATTTGTGTTTTTTTATACAATGGACTAATACTCAGCTATAAAGAAAAGTTCGAATCATTTACAGGTAAGTAGATGTAACTAAAGGGTGCAATCATAAGTGAAATAAATCAGATCCACATGTATAAATATCGCATTGTTTCCCTAGTGTAATACTGAAAGAATAAATAAAACCTGAAAAGTGTAGTAGATATGGTAAAATAAAAAGGAACTGAATTTAAGGATTAAACAATGAAGATGAGGGAAAGGAGAAAAGATAGAAAAAGTAAGGAGGGAAAAGCATGCAAGTACATATACAGGATGGCCGAGATGATTGTTCTCATAATTTCCATCTTTTTTTCTAAACAGCAGTTAATGCTTAGAACTTTCATCCTGACTAAGAATTTTGCTGATTTTTATGATTTGAATAACCACGCCGAGGACAGCAATGTATAATAAAAAAACGCATGGTTGAATACCTCTCATCTTCGTCTTCTAAATGTGTACTGTGTATAAAGCCTTATCAACTGTTTTACTCTTTTAAAATATATTAAAACAAAAAGGCAAGCAAACTAAGATTTCTTGAAAGCAAGCTCAAACATTCAATTAATTCCCCAAATTTGTATAACTATATCTCTTAATGTGAGCAATAGATTTGATGATAAAAACGGATAATATAATAATCATTGTTAATGAGGTATTCCTGTTTTGAAAGTCTGTAACATACACATTGTTATATGCTGCCTTGTCTCTGTGTTTTTTTCTATTTGTTTTAGTTTCTGCTTTTACTCTTCAAAATAAAATAAAATAAAATTAGTTAAAATTTGTGATTTTGTTCCATCATTTTCTAAAATATGTGGTGTTATAGATGTGCTTAATATATAAACATTCATTATTGTTCTCACTACTTAGTGTTTCTGTTGGTATCACATATGAACTATTTTTAAGTATTTGACTCAGAGAACTCTGCTCACAAAATCCTAAACAATGTGAGTCTAATTATTTATGGAACTTACTAATAATTATTTGAAGAATTTCACTTGACTTAGATAAAGCACTTAGTAGAGAATGTACTGAAATGTGGCTTCTTTGGTGAGGTGGACTTTGAATGGTGGATGGTTTTTGTGCAATTAGTGCTAATCTGGAACATGCAGGAGAATAATGGGAGAGTCCAGCTAGCTTCCCAGGGGTATTGCTAACTAAGACAGTCCAGTATGATCAGACAACATCTGTAGTGGCAAATGAGAAAATGATCAGGTACCAGGCATTATCAGATTTCAACACTACTTTGAAGATGTAGGATCTGTTTCTATTCCGAGGAGAGGATGAGTTACCCACAATTTTATTATCCTGTGCTGTCCGCACATATGCTCAGAGAGGCAGCTTTTGCAGGAGGCCCTGCTCCAGACCCATGCTCTGTGAGCTCTGCCTGTGGCTGAAAAGAACACATTTGTAATTCTGAGATTTTGTTCTCAGATTGATCCATCCTTCCAGGAGCAAGAGTTTAGGAACTCAGAAGGAACTTTTGATTCTTTCGAAAGTGAGAAGGAAAAAGGGAAGAACTTTTGTTCAGATATGAAAATACAGTCATCATATTTATATATCCCCTTGACAATATTTATAGTTCACATAAATATAAATACATTGAAATATCATTATTCTGTCTCTCTTTTACATAGTCTTATTTTCCTTACAAACAACGAAAGTTGTCATGCTAACATTCATGTGTGCTTGAGTTATATCCTATCAAACTATGCTCGTTTAATTAGCCCACAACTTTGTGACATTCCAAAATTCCTAATTAATTCCTCCTGCCTTTTGAGGAGGGCAAAAGATGTGTGATATCTAGTGGAATGCCCTCTTGCGAAAGCTAAAGTATGTTAAAGAGTACAATGACTATGTTCAATGTTAAACATTCTTTAAGTGAACTTATTCTTTGTATCATTTCTTTATATCCAATTCATAAATTTCTACTCTAAGCTTTATAATTTCCTGCCTTCTTTGAATTTTGGGCATGACTAGCTCTTCTTTTTCTATGAACTTGAGCAACATCATAAGATCGTTTATTTGGGCTTGTTAATGTGCAAATTGGGGTTGGGGATATAGCTCAGCAGAATAAGCACTTGTCTGGCAAGCACAAGTTCCTGAGTTCAATCCGCAGTTCTCTTCCCCTTCCCAAAAAGATGTGTCAATTTGTTGCCCTTTATTTTCCTCTTCACAAAACTTTCATTGCAGGTTTTAGTAAGTTGTATCTGCATTTTCATTTGATTGCAAATATTTTTCAATTTCTTTTTGAAATTGCTGAGTGACCCATTGTTTGTTTAGGAGTTTGATATTGGATTTCTATGTATTTATGTTAATTTTGTAGTTTCTTTTGTCTAAAATTTCCAGTTTTATTGCACTGTGATCAGATAGCATGCATGGGATAAATTAATTTCCTTTGCATTTACTTACAAGTGCTCTATTGTTACCATATGGACTATTTTGGAGAAAGTCCCATGTGCAGCTGAGAAGAATGTGTATTGTTTTTGGTGGTGAAACACTCTATACAGTTCTACCAAGTCAATGTTTCTTTTCTTTTCTTTTTTCTTTCTTTCTTTTATTCTTTTTTTTTCCAGAACTAGGAATTGAACTCAGGCCCTTGTGCTTGCCTGGGAAGGGATTTTTTTTTACTGAGACATCTCACCAGCCTTCCAAGTCAATTTCTTCACAAGTTTGTTTTACGATTTTTTTTTATTTATTGCCTAGTTAATCTATCTCTTTGTAACACTCATATGTTCAAGGCCCATTTTATTATTGTATTATTGCTTATTTGATTTTGCACATCTGTTAAATTTGCTTTATGTAGAAATGTACTCCTACATTGGGCACATATATATTTATAATTGTTTTCTCTTGTGCAATTTTCACTTAAGAAGAATTTAGTAACGATTTTTTGTCTCTTCAGGTGAGTTTGGGTTTGAAGTTGATACTGTGAGCAACCAAGATTACTACCCTTGCTTGTTCCTGATTTCCTATGGCTTGGAGAATTCTTTTGCATCCTTTGAGTTTTAATCTGTGAATTTCATTTTGAGCTTAATGTGTTTCTTGTATAGACCATACTGTTGGATTTTGTATCTTAATCCACTCTGGTTGTCTGTTTCTTTTGATTAATGAATTGAGGCTATTTGAATGGATTGTTAAACTGGTGTGTATTGGCTTGTCTTTATCATGTTATTTTACTGTTATAGGTTGTGTAATTTTCTTCCTCTTTTTAAACTGCTTGCTCTGTTTTGTGGTTCCCTTCTTTTGTTCTTGGAGCTGTGATCAATCTGTCTCTTTGTAGAATATCTATCAGTAAACTTAGTAGTTTTGGTTTCGTGGACATGATTATCTTCAATTTTTATTTGTCGGGGAAGGATATTATTTGACCAATGAATGGGATAGCGTGCTGCAGAGCAAATCAATACGGGTTGGAAGTTATTTTCTTTCAGGACCTGAAATACTTTCTTCCAAGATCATCTCAATTTGATAGTTTGTGTTGAGAAATCTGCATGATACTGATGGGTTTTCCATTGTAGGTGATCTGCCTCTTGTCTATAGCACCTTCAAAGAGTTGATTATTTTAAAGAATATAAAAAATGATAAACTCTTAGCCAACCTAAACAAAAAAAAGGAATAAATGAATAACAACAAAAAATGTATGCAACACAAGGTGAAATGTGAGAAATCACCAGATTGTAGATAAATTTTGAAGATCATCAATGCCTCCTTTAGAAATCTTTATTCTCACAGGATGGAAAACTGAGTAAATGGAGAGTTTCCTAGGTACGTATGAAATACTAAAGCATAGTGAAGTATATGTACAAACTCTGAACAATCCAATAAGATGAAATGAAATTGAAAATGAAATGAACAACCACCAACAAAGAAAACCCAGTTCCTCATGAATTGCTACTGGAATTCTACAAGAAGTGTATAGAAGATTTAATGGCAACTTTTCTCAAACTTTTCAATGAAATTTGAAGGAAAACAATTCTCCCCAACTCATTTCTGAAGGCACGTATTAGTCTGATTCCAAAATCAGAATGAGATCCAATTAAAAACGAGAATAGCAGGCCCAAATCTGCAATGCGCATTGATGCAAAAATCCTGAATACAATAGTATTAAACACAATGCGGCAAATCATGAAGAAGATTATACATCATGAGTAAGTGGGATTCATTCCTGGAATACAGGGTTGGTTCAGCATACACAAATCCGTAAATGTGGAACAACATAGCAATAGGACCTACAGCAAAACAAAAACATTATCATCTCAATAGGTGCAGAAAAAGCTTTTTATGAAGTCCAAAGCTCATTCATGATAAAAACCATACAGAGGATTGCAATAGCTTATCCGTATTTCAACCTGATAAAAGCCATCTATGAGAACCCAACAGCCAACATCATAACAAATGGACAAAAACTGGAGGCCTTCACTTTAAAATCAGGAATGAGTATTTCCCCTGTGTCCACTCCTATTCAATATAGTTCTGTTAACATTAGTCACAGAAAGAAGGCAAGAGAGATAAAAAAGGATATTGATTTGAAAGAAGTGAAGTTTTCATCATTTACATATAATATGGTAATTTACATAGAAGACCCTAAAAATTTTATGAAGAATCTTACAGATTTAATCACCACATTCAACATCTTGGCATGATGCAAACTCATCACTCCAAAATCAGCAGTGTTTTGTACCCAAAGAAAGAACACACTGAGTTAGAAATTAGGGATACTATGCCTTTCACAATGACATTCAAAAAACTGAAATACTTAAGACTAGATGTCACAAAATCAGAAAATATATATACACTGAAAATTATTGCACTCTGAGAAAAAGTACTAAAGAGGATTTGAACAAATGTAAAAGGAAAGAGTTACTGAATTGAGCAGAAGGACTGGAGAAGGTGTAAAGGAAAGAGATTTGTGTACGTATGTAAGCAGTACGGTTAGGATAACTGTACTGTGCATTACTCGTGGTCTGTTGAAAGAAACAGTTAATGCTTTAGTTCATTTTGTCTTCAATCTTCAATTGATTGCACTGTTTTCTCTTAATTTATTATTTTCTTTTCCTTTTTTCTTTTTTCCTTTTTATTGAGAAACCAGTAGTAATGAGACAGTTTCAAAACAGTAGGACAGTTATAATAAATACATTGCATATTGCTGTCTTCATAGTAGTTTTTGATAGTGCAAGATGCAGAGATTATATCCTGACCAAAAACTATTAGTAGAAATATTTCTTTTCACTGAATTAAGAGAAAGTAGCTGGGTTTTTTTTTTCTGTTTTTTCACTACAAAATGGTCCTTCATTTATATCTCAATTTTTTGTTTAGTTTTGTCAGAGGCGGGTATTCCATTGTCATTTACAAATTGTAGGTGCATGAATTCAGTAAAATAATCTTATTTTCTCTTAATTTCTCATATATTTATTTCCTTTTTGGTTGTTTCTTCTTCCAAGTTTACATGCATATATCTGGTAAAATGAGTAACAGGTTGGAAGACATCACTATGTATTACAAAAAAATACTGTGATAGTCATGTGGCTTTTTAGAATGAAATTCCTTATCACTTTTGACTGCTTCTTTTATAATTGTAATTTATAATCTCTTTACAGTGTGAAATAATCATAAAATTAACTTCTGCATATTTATCCATTTATATTAAAATAATATAATGGGCATTTTTAATCAACTTCTTAGGGAAGTCATTTTTCCTCAACATTTACATTGGACAACTGGCTTATGTGAAATTCAACAAATGGCATTATGATGCTACATAGGCGTATCCTTTATTTACATTTCCTCCATAGTCTGAGGATTTGCTTCTTTATTTCAGTAATTTCAAGTATGTGACTTCCAAGTTCTTCTATCACTACCTCCTGTCTTGTTTTGTGTTGGATGATCTCAGAAATTTAATTTTGCATCTAACTATATCTCCCTTGAGAAATTTTCTGGTACTATTTCTGCAAACAATCTTTTTAATATCATTTCTGTTGACTACAGCTGTTTCATTGGTACCTATTAGTCTTATATCATTTTTCCTTATATGACCTTAAAGATGTTGCAGTTATTTCCTGCTTCCTTGTTATTTTTAAGAAATATTTTCTTTCATGTTCACTATCTACAAGCCTATCTTGAAAGCTTGAAATTATTTCTTCAGTTTCATTCCAGCAGTTTTGCCAGCATCCAGAGTTCTTAATGTGCTGGATATCTGTTTGAATTTCTTCAATACACTGTCATTCTTTCATGTGTTGTTCTATCAATACTTCCAGCATTTTTCTATCCCATTCTATTTTGATCTATGTATTCTTTAAGTGCAATAACTAATTTTTTATGATTACTCTCATTCTTTTCTTTTACCTGAGAAATTATTTCTGATCTGATTTCCTCCATAGTCTGAGGAGTTGTTTCTTTATTTCAGTTGCTATCATTTCAGCAATTTCAGGTATGTGACTTCCAAGTTCTTCTGTGACTACCTTCTGTCTTGTTTTGTGTTGCATAATGTCAGAAATTGCATTTTGTTTCTTCACTTTGACATTTTTGAAGCCTCCCATATAGAGCCTAACTCCATAGTGATGGTAAGGAGTCCTGATGTGGATGAGTGACGCTCCCCTGACTGTACAAGCATAGGGTAGGCTCAACAAAGCTTCTGCGCTATGGGGCTTAGTGTGGTTTCCAAGTCCATGAAAACCACACCAAGGAGGGCGTATGCTTAGCACAGCTCAGGAAGGAACTGATAATTTGGAGTACATCTCAAAAATCTGCAAGGCTCTCTCGATGTTTGGATTTGCATTGCAGCACTCTTCAACCCTTCTGCTATGAGTGGGGTAGGCAGAAGCAGCACAGCTGAGCTACGTTGATGGCAATCATGGCGAGGCTGTCACCGCACAGGTGATCTCCCTCAGTGGGGAATGCTTGGGGTATAGCTCATCAAGTCTCCATAGCTATCGTGGGACAAGGTTACTTTTGGGACTGTGGGAGAAGGGGTTGCAGCTCAGGGTAGGTCGTGTGGTGGACAGGGGTGGTGCAGCCTAAGACATGTTTCTGGTGCTTTTATCTCTTCACTAGACTTTAAGGGTTTTTAAATACCATATTGTAAATTTTTTTAACACTGTTGTTATTTAATACATGCTTTCTTCAAGAACCTAAAGATATAAAATGTATAGTAGAAATTCTTTCTTATTCTCATTTAAATATGAGATTTAGATCTCATATTATCTGGGATCTGAAGCATGACTTGCTTTTATTTTTAAGCCCATTATCTTATTTCTAAAGGGACATTCATGCTTGCTTGTCTCATCAATTATTTTACCTGTCCTAATTGGTTGATATTTATCCTGTGGCTTAGAAACTCCTAAGCAGTAGGAAGTTATTCTGATGCTGACAAAAGAAAAAATTGTCTGACAAGTTTTTCAGTGAAAATTCTCCTCATACACAGCTTGTTTAAGAAGCTTCATGCCAAAAAATTGAAGTATATATCACTTGTCAAAAGTACATTCAGTTTTCTTTACAAAAGTCCTTTAGGAGGGGAACATTGGAGCAACTGTCCCATGAATTCCTGGAAGGAGAGTGAAGGTATATTCCTGACCCTAGCCCATCTGTATTGTGACTCACTGCTTTGTTCTTTAAAAAGAATCAAAGTTTTGACCTGAAATAATTTCAGGTTTATCATTAATTATCACACACAATTATGTATATTCATAGATGCAGTGTAGTATCCCAGTATATATTTATGTTACCTACTGTTTAAATCAAGTGGATTAATGGATCCATCATGCCACTGTTTTTTCACATGCATGAGTGTGGATAGCAATTTTGTTTGGGATATAATTAAATTACAATATTACCAAAATATCTTTTTCCTCTAATAAAACCTTTGAACAGAAATATGTGCTTGTTAGTACTGAATTATATATATATATATATATATATATATATTATGTAGTATATATATATATATATTATATATACTATATAGTACTGAATAATATATATTAAATTATATATTATATGTTGTGCTGAATGTATTATTTTTATCCTGGCAAATGGTAGAGATATTTCAAAAATCACATTTTCTGCAGATCCATATAGTGAAACTTTATACATAAATTTTATTGTGAAGATACATGTCAAGGTCTTCTTAATTGCATGAACACAGAACAGTATGATGAAGCCACTTTTCAAGGAATCATTTGAGGTGCATACAATCTTTCACGAGCAATGTGATTCTATCATTCATATAATTGCAGTGCTAAGAATCACTCTGCTAATACCATTATATTTATGTATAAATTTCACTTGGATGAGTGTGAGGAAACAACACAAGCATAAATGTTGCTGGACTAAATTGGAAAATGATCATTGATTGAGTCTTTTCCCTAAAGAACTCTGTGGTCTCTATGCAGGCTCATGCCCAGCAACTACCAAAACTACCTGGCCTTCGTTTTTGCCATTGAAGAGATCAACAGGAATCCTCATCTTTTACCCAACATTACTCTGGGCTATGAGTTCCATAATTTCAGGTACAATCATTGGAAGATACTGGAAAATTTCATTATTTTGCTCACAGGACAACAAGAGATCCCAAATTATTTATGCAGGACAGAAAGCAAGGCTTCAGCATTGGTCATAGGCATGTCAAGGGAAACCTCAGCTCACATTGGACCACTACTGGAACTCTACAAATTTCCACAGGTGAATGTCGGAAGACGGGAACTGAAGGAAGCACATCCATGGTATTTCAACTACTAAGAATACGAAGGATTAAAATGAGGCTGGGATTAGCATATTTCAAACTATATAATTCAATAGAGTCCTTACACAGAGACTTCACAATTTGTTTTCCTTTTCTCTTTTTGTATCAAAAAGGAAGGAAAGCAATATATTTCAAGGATGTCTGAGTACATTAAATCACCTTGTAAAAAGGTCTCCTGAGGTAGATGTTTAAAACAGTGGGAAGAATATATGTCTCTTTCTACCTGAAGATGTCACTTAGGATTACTATTATATCAACATTTTAGTGTATTACATAGTTTTTCTTTCCTTTAAGGTTACCTTTGGCTCATTTGATCCTACACTGACTGACAGTGGCCAGCATCCTTCTATCCATCAGGTGGCCCCAAAGGATACATATTTGGCCCTTGGCATGGTGACCTTGATGGTCCATTTCCGCTGGACCTGGGTTGGCCTGCTCATCACAGAAGTCCATAAGGGTGTTCAATTTCTCTCAGATATGAGAGCTGAGATGAACAAGAACAGAGTCTGCATAGCCTTTGTGTCAACAATGGTTCTCACATATCTCTCATTAACAAGTGTGGGTAAAATCCTACAGAGAGACACATCATCTGCCAATGTGGTTGTCATTTACTATGATACTGAGAGTCCAGATGATTTGACCTATCACATAGTGAGTTTTTACATGACCCAGAAAGTCTGGGTCTCAAACTCACAATTCCACGGTGAACTGTCTGAGGAAGATTTCAAACTCAATTCACCCCGTGGGATTCTTGTGTTTTCACAGCACCATGAAGAGATTTTAGGATTCAAAACTTTTGTCAAGGCAGCTACCCCTTTCAAATACCCAGAAGACACTTACCTTGTTTTTTACTGGTCCATGCATTTCCATTGCTCATTCCATGAGTCTGACTGCACATTGAAGAATTGTACAGCTAATCCCCCTGTCACATGGATACCTCCATATCCTATTCACATACCTTTGAGTGATAGGAGCTACAATATATACAATGCTGTGTATGCTGTGGCCCATGCTCTCCATGTGATGCTTTCTGAAGAAGTACAAAGGTTGCCAATGAGAAACAGAGAAATGATGACGTTTCCCCATTGGCAGGTAATATGTCTTTCCTGTGATCATGTGCAGTATCATTAAGGTGCCTCTTTCAATTTATTCCATCTGATTCATCAAGAATATTAGAGCCATTTCAACAAGTCCCAGTCACTGTGTTTCACGCTGGGTGTTAAGTGTGCTACTATTCAGGTGAATTGGATTGAGGCTCAATGAACCATCCACTCCAAAGCATTATGAAACAGGTGGCCAGATTATGGCTCCTGACGACAGGAGGTAGATTTGATGCCAACTGAAAGATATTTTATGATTTTATTAAAGGACAATTGGTAGACACATTATAGCTTACAAAACTAAAAGATGTTTAAAATGACAGTGCACAGAAATAAATTTCATTTGTTTCGAAATTCTTGTGATAATGATGAATTCCTCCAATTTTCAGTCTATGAAGGTGGTCAATGAAAGGTTTGGAGTTTGGAAGCTTGATTTCACAGTTGTTGTTTTTCCCTAAACTAAATACACATCTCCTTCAAATGGACTTGCATGGAATTTTTGTTTTTGAAAGTAGCTGATATTTCTTGAACATCGTGACAATGTAGTCCTGAGATATCCATGTGCTCTAATTCAATAGATGTCAGTATAAAAGTTGATTTATGTAGCTGGCATTACAGACACTAAAGAACTTTTACAAACCCCTATTTTTCTGTTTTAATCCTGGAGGGCTGTTCTCATAGGATGATGTGTCTCTTTCAGCTGCATCCTTTTCTGAGGAACGTCCAACTTAAAAGTCCTGCAGGAGACAAGGTGAACTTGGATGACAGAAAGAAATTGAATTCAGAGTATGACATTCTCACTTTTTGGAATTTTGTAAAAGGCTTTAGAATTAAGAGTAAACTGGGCAAATTTTCTTCACATGTTCCACATGGTCAAAAAATAACTCTATCTGAGAGTATGATAGAATGGACCACAAAAGCAAAAAAGGTATGCTATATCTAATCATGGAAAAATTACTAACCATAAGTAGACTAAAGACAGCTCCTATTTTGTCACCAATTTTGCTCATGCAATGGTCACATGAGCAAATTGAATGACTAAGTTTTGAATTTGAAAAAAATATGTTTTTGCTTAACTCTTTTTGTAAATCATGCTTTATAGTGTGAAATAAATTTGGCAGGCGGTTTTACGATTTTGATTATATATGTATACAAAGTTTACTCTTTTAGCTTTGAATAAGTAAGTAAAAGTCTAAAAAGTCACCACCATATATTTTTTCGCAGACTCTCCAGTCAGTATGCAGTGAGAGTTGCAATCCTGGATTTAGAAAAAGCCAACGGGAGGGAAAGGTGGCCTGCTGCTTTGATTGTACCCCTTGTGCAGACAATGAGATCACAAATGACACAGGTAGGACCACAGCCTGTGGACACATTCCCACTTTGTGTCTTATTCTTTCCACCTACATCGGATTTGGAAAAAATCTTGCATAGGGCACTGATGGTAAAATTCTTCATTTACTTATGAAATTGTTGGCTATATGGAGTGTTATTGCCTATTAGGAAAACACATTTTCCCATTTGAAATGCACTCATGTTCCATTTCCTTTACTTTGTTCTTTTTTCCCCATAATTTTGTTGAGAAACAAATAGCAATGAGACAGTTTCAAATCAATTTGATAGGACAGTTTAAATAATTAACACATTGCATACATTCCTCCCAGTGGTTAATTGCTGTATAAGATGTGGGCATGGTATCCTACTATAAACACCATTAGAACGAATCACTCTATTCATTAAGAGAATGTAACTATATCTATCCTAACCACTTCTTTATTTTGTTCTTACCATTTGTTTCATTTGCTTCTCTAAGACAATAATCAAAATGTGCTCTGTTAATCATCTGTATGCACAGAGATTTTCATTTGTAATTTTGAGACACAATATCATCAATTTACCCCAACTGCCTTAAAATGAGGTATTCCTATCTCAGCCCAGTAGTAAGCATTCATAACATATATGCGTTGTCACTTCTGACTAACTTCATGTATATTGTTGGTCCCATGAAAGCATTATTTTATTAAGACAAAGCCTTTTCCCTATCCAAATGCTTATAGGTTCCATTTCCATTTTGAAGTTTAAAATGGAGTAGTATTATAACCAACTGTTTAAGACAGTTGGAACCAAAAGATTACAGTCAAGACTAGTTTCAGAACACTTTGTTTTGCAGGGACTATGCTTCACACAAAGCAGGTGCTCAGACAGGCTCAGTTTAAGTCAATATAGGAGAATATATTTGATGTGCTACATGTTTACATCACAGCACAATGAGATTCCTAGAATGTAACTCCCATTCTCGTGGAATGCAGACATGATTTGGGAGAGAGACTATAGCATAAATTAGAGTCTGTACAACAGAGCTGTAATGATGATGTGCACACAGAATAAGGGATTAAATAAGTCACAATAGAGACCTTTCAAAATGTGTTCTAGGCATTTTTCCACAATTGATATCATTGGTATTATATCAGAAAGAAAAGAGGTGATACAAATACTTTTAGAATTAATAGAAGTTGCCCAGGTGGAATATGCATCATTCATAGAATATTATTCAAATGTCATGAAGGGAAATATTAAGAAACCAATGAGATTAAGACTAGGGTTGCCAGTCCTAGCCCAGGTCCGGTGAGTGTGCGGAGAGTTTCCTGCTACACTGCGCCGGCGGGACCAGTCCCAGCCCAGGCGCAGCATGGGCCGGACCCTCTCCCAGCCCCTCGGGCCACCCCCACCACTCCGAAGTGCCTCCCCCACCC